GATAGATAGATAGATAGATAGATAGATAGATAGATAGATAGATAGATGACAGACACGTGACTCGGCTTCTGGCTTCCACATGCAGGGGCATACATGTGTGCCCCACATGCCTGCTATATTCATACACACATGCGTGCATACCACAGATTCACACATGCAAAACAAATACAACACAGAATGCTTCCATTTCCTTTGGTGCCCTAAAGGGACACTGGAAGGTGATCTGATCAAACCTGTCAGGAAAATGCCAGAAGACCCATCCCTCTTGCTGGCCACCTCTGGCTACACAAGGCTAAAAGCTGCCTGCAGAACCCTAAAGTAGCCTCTAGGTGGTGCAGCTGAGCAGCCTTTTTCTTTTTTCTTTTCTTTTTTTTTTTTTTTTTTTTTGTTAGTTACTACTTCACCATTGTTCACAGGGAGAAAGAGGAGCTATGACTGTCTATACACCAAGTTTTGGGACAGAAGCAGAAGCAAGGGTGAGATGAGCAAAAGGCAAGACTAGAAACACACTAAGAGGTCCGTGGTGGTTCCTCTCTTCCAGGCCCTCTTGGATTGCAGCTGGCAAAACCATCTTCATTATGGTGGCCTTGCTAGTTTTGAGCCTGTTACAGTGTTGCCCTTAGGCTGGCTCGACACTCACAAAGCCTCCTGAGGTGGGTGGTGTGTACAGTTGCAGGCAAAGAACTGGGTACAGAACGTCACCATCTGGGACGAGACAGAGCTCAGACTTAAGCCCAGTGTGAAGCCTGATTGGGGTCTTACCCACTCTGGGCTTCTCCCACCCAAATGCCTCTTACCACCTCCCGACAGGCTGTCTTTCCTCCCTTCCCCAGAGGTTCCGAATCCCCAAGGGCAGACTGGGTGTGACCAGGATAGGAGACTTGTCTTCGAGGGACATGAAGAAGATCACTCCCTTGGCCCTGATAGAGCTGACAGCCCTCTATGACATCCTGGGCTTGGACCTGAAGAGGAGCAAAGCCGGGAAGTGGAAAGGCTCAGGTGAGCATGCGTGCCAGACGCCCGCCTGCCCCTCTAAGCTTGTCGCCTGCTACACCCCTCCCCCACCCACCCTGGGCTCTGTGAACTTGAACTGTCTGTCCCGCTGCCAGGAAACACTCAGCGTGGTTCTGATTTCTGTGGATTTTTTTTTTCTGCAAGTGGAAACAGTTCCTAGCCAGTGGCATGGTGCTACTGTAACCCAGTTCTAGGGAGGCTGAGGCAGGAGGATCTTGGGTTTGTGACCAACTTAGGCTACATAGCAAGATTCTGTCTGAAGAAACGAACAAAACACAATTCATGTTCATATTACTCTGTTCCTATTTAAGTAAATACAGTAAAAATACAATGCAGATATAAGCAGTATTTGGCTTCAGTGCACACTCTCTCTCTCTCTCACCCTTGTATGCATATTTTCCCCCTAATATGATAGGATTGCGGTCAATTTTCATTTTTCCCAATTCTACATCCTGCACCTTTTCTATAGCAATGCTTCATAATGAACACCCCCCCCCCAAAATCTATGACTTAATTATTCTTTTCTCTCTCTCACACATGGGTGAGCTGGCAGTTGCTTTATTGATCTAGCTCAGATGTGGCTACAGCTGGGGCTGTTTCTAGCTCTCTTTCTCCTCACTGGACCACCAGGCCATCCAGAGCAGATTCTCCTGACAAGAGCAGAAACACACGGGCAAGCACTCCTGCCTAACCAGTGCCTCCATGTGCATTGTGCAGGTTACCATGTTATCAGTCTCGACTGTTCACACAGGCAGGCCCCACACAGGGGTGGGGTGCACTCTATTCCCAGTGGGTACAAAATACAGGTTCATACAGCAGAGAGGGTGTTCAGAAGGCATGCTGAATTTGGGACAATAGTTCCACTTAGCACAGCTATTAAACTTTCTATAGAGACATGGTTTTCAGGACTATGAGACAGTTCGGCAAGGAAAGGCGCTTGCCACCAAGTCAGAAGAGCTGAGTTTGATCCCTGGAGCCCACATGGTGGAAGACGAGAACCAGCTCTCAAATGCTGTCCTCAAGTGATATGCATGCACCCCACACACACACACAAAGAAAGAAAAGAAATATAATTTTTTTTAAAAAAAGTATCTTAACCGTTTTTAAGTTGATTTTTCTAGCTATTGTACAAAATGATGGATTTTATTATAACATTTTCATGTTAGTGTATCATCGTACCTTGCTCAAATCCACCCATTGCCCTTGCCTAGTCCTCATTTCTGCTGGTCCTTTTTCATCCGTCCCCCAGAGTCCCCCTTCTGCTTACATCACACACACACACACACACACACACACACACACACACACACACATACACACAGACACACACACACACCTGGATTCCACGATATGATATGAGAGAAGATTCCACACATGAGAGGAAATGTCATATTTTGTCTTTCTCTCCCCAGTCCCCCTCAAACAATTTTTAGATCCCCTTCCTCCCTCCACAGACTTCTATTATCATGTGTGTGTGTGTGTGTGTTGTGTGTGTTTAGATTCTATTCATGAGAAACAGCACAGGGCGCTTATCCTTTTGAGTCTGACTTATTTCACTTAACAGGATGATCTCTGTCAGTTTTCCTGAACATAGCATTCTTTCTTCTCTCTGTTTGAATAAAATGTCACCGCATCCAGGTACCAGTTTCTTCATCTATACAGGCTTGATGGGCATCTAAGCTGGTTCTGTATCTTGGCTGTTGTGAGTTGTACAACAGTAACAATGGGTGTGGAAGTGCTTGTGTTGTATTGCACTGGCTAGCTTCCTGTGGGTGTCTTATCAGGATCCTATCAGTTAGTAAGGCTTATTTTTGTTTTATTTGTATGGAGTGTTTGCCTGTATGTGTGTACTGTGTGTGCAGTACCCTGCAGAGGCCAGGAGAGGGCATCAGAGTCTCTGGAATTAGAGTTGTTAGCAGCCATGTGAGTGCTGGGAACCTTACTTGGGTCCTCTGTAAGAGCAACAAGTGCACCTCACTGCAGAGTCCCCAGTTCTGTAGGTTTTTTTTTTTCTGATAAGTCACCACAGGTTTTCCACAGTGGCTACTCCAGCTGGTACTCCTATCAGCAGTGTATTGTACACATGTCCATGTCCCTCGATATCCTTGCCAGTATTGGTTATCATTGATTAGGTTTGATGATACCCGTTCTGAATGGATAATATGGAATCTCAGTACAGTTTTGATTTGCATTTCTCTGATGACTAAGGATGTTGAACTTTCTCCCCAAATATTTATTATTTTTGTTTTTAATTTTCAGAGTTGTCTATTCAATTTGTTACTCTGTTATTGATTGAACAATATAAAATTTTCAAATTCAATATTTGAAGTTCTTTATATATCCTAGATATTGATCCCCTGGTTTATAGATGGTTTGGCCACAGTTTTCTCTTGCTTTGAAGACTACCTGGCAATTGTTCCCTTTGCTGTGTAAGATATTCTTTTTTTATTTCTTTAATCTCATCTGTCAATTCTTGGTGTTGTGTTTTTGCTCTTGGGGTGCTTCCTACAAAGTCTTTCCTTGTGTCATTATCATGAAGTATTTTTCCCTAACCACTTCAGAGTTTCCGGTCTTATGTTAAGGTCTTTGATACATTCCTTTTTAATGGGACACTTCGTGAATATGTGTGTCATCCTTGCACAGGGGCCATGCTAACCTCTGTATCATTTCAGTTTTTAGTATACGTGCTGCTGAAGCGAGCACAGGTCTTTGGTACATTTTGAGTTTATTTGGGGGAATAATGGTTCTAGTTTCATACTTTTAGTTGTGAAGATTCAGCTTCTCCGACACCGTTTGTTGAAGAGGTTTCTTTTCTCAACCATGTCAAAAGTCAGGTGGCCATAGCCATGTGGCTTTATTCCTGGGTCCTGTGTTCTGTTCCACAGACCTGTGTCTGTTTTTCTATCTGACTTTTTGTCACTATGGCTCTGTAGTGCAGTTTAGATCAGGCATTGTGAGGCTTCCAGTGTTGCTCCTTCTGCTTAGGATTCTGGCTTGGCCATTCAGAGTCTTGTGTGCCTCCACGTGACTCTTAGGATTGCTTTTCTAATGCTGTGGAAACTGTCACTGGAGTGTTTGCTGACAATCTGTATAAACCTGGTTTTACAATCCTCATTCTGGCACTCCATGAACGTGGAGGCCTTTCTGTTCTCTAGTGTCTTCCTCAGTTTCTTTCTTCAGTGGTTTAAAGAAAACCATAGTTTTTAGCTATTATCTATTTTCCTTCTCATGGCCATACCATAATGGGAAATCTACCCATTTCCCTATTAGAGGATATGCATTATGTCCATGTTTTCCCTGTTACAAACACAGCCACAGTTGTCATATCTAACAGAATACATCTTAGTTTAAAATAATATCTTGAGGCAGCATCTCACAGAGCATAGCCCAGGCTGGCTTCTAGCTTTCTGTCCTCCTGCCTCAGAGTACTAGGATTATAGGCATATGCTATTATATTGTATAACATTATTATTATATTATTATTAGTATTATATTGTATAATATTAATATTATATTATATTAATATTTTTCATACTAAGTTTTGGGCAGGTGCTACCCTTTAGTAGTGTATATGTTTGTCTCACCTCTCTCTGTCAGCATTATGCAGTGTTTTGTGTGGGTTCCTCAAAGGCAAGGGACGGAGGATTAGAAAGGTAGAAGGAGGGGCCTTCAAGCAGGTGGGAGAAGAGCAGGGGAAGAAAGAATGGAACAGAAGACAGTGGAGGGCTTGTCTGGGAACAGCCTTGAGCCAGGGTGAGTGAGATCCCTGGCTCTTGGCCCACGCCCGTGGAGCTAGGCAGCTCTGTCCTGGACTGTTAGCTTGTACTAGGGCAGCAGGACATTTTCCTCTTAGTTCTTCCTTACCTGGGGGGGCAGGGTGCGCTGTGGCATGCCTGATGTCACCATTGCTGAGGTCAGATGCTTCAGTTCCACTTTTCCCAGACCTTGTCCTTTGGAGGAACAAGTCTGATTCTAGTGGCCCTGCCAGACCTTGGGTTTCCGGGAGTCACCGCAGACTTGAGATGCACGTTCTCTCTTCTGGCCTCCTGCAGACTCGGGCCTTTTTGGCGTGCCCCTTCACAGCCTGCTGGAAGCTGACCACAGAGTCCTCCCCAGTGCCCAGGTCCCCCTGCTCCTGCAAGCTGTAAGTTATCCCCAGCTCGGGCTTACTTAACCCTTGAAGGGCTGGCTCTGGGGAACATTTGGGAGATGCCTGCCACAAGGAGAAGATCCTGGGCTTTAGAGAAGGGGACCTGGATTCAAATTCTGCCGCTGGTAACAGCTGACTCAGAGACCTGGGGGCAATTTTGAACTTCTGGATCCTTTCTTTCAATGTCTGTGAGCTGGGGTTCTAATAAAAATCTTCTCTAGTTGAGGACTGAGGGGGCACATGTCTCTGAAGCTCTCAGCACAGTGTGGTCAGGAAGTTCAGAAGCGCTGAGGATTTGGTTCGGGGGTAAATCACTTGCACAGCACGTACAGGACCCTGGCTCCATCTTGTTATTTGAAGGAGTCCTTCTAGAATTCTCCTCTTCCTAGTTTTCACGAGAGAGAGAGACACACCTTGCTCGACCTGCGTGCTAGCGGTGGCTGACTAGAGCAATGGTCTCTTACTTTGGTAGTTGCTGTCCTGTTTGGAAAAAAGAGGGCTGGACACAGAAGGCATCCTCAGAGTTCCTGGATCCCAGGCCAGGGTCAAGGTAATGGCTGATTTCTGCCATCTCTGAAGGCTGCCTTTCCTCTCCAAGCCTGGTGTTGTGTTTGGCTGGGAGAGAATTTGGGTCCTGGCTGATCTGTGAACTGCTTTTGGTGTGGTTATGGGATTCCAGGAGACAGATAGGGGGCCCAATAGAGCCATGGGCTCTGGGGTCACACGGCCAACACCTGTGGAACGGAGCTCTGCATTCAGTAGCTTGACTCAAAATGGCGTCTGATACTCATAGTAACCATGTTGGGAAGGTACCATGGTTGTCCCAACCTTGCAAGCAGACACTGAAGCCCAGATAGGGTGAGCAGCTTACATGGGAGCTGTGGGCAACTTCTTGGCGGTCTTCCTTTCTCTAGGGATTGGAGCAAAAGCTGGAGCGAGGCTTCTATGCTGGCCTCGTGAGCTGGGACAAGGTTCATCCCAATGACGCATCTGACCTGCTCAAGAGGTTCCTCAGGAAGCTGCCGGCACCTCTGCTCACAGCCGAGTACCTCCCAGCTTTTGCAGCAGTACCCAGTGCGTGTGGTAGTCCCGTGCATGTGTGTGTGTGTGGGGGGGGGGGTGGCCGTCTTGTGGATGTGCAGGGCACCGTGGGAGGTTGGGAGCCCCTGGCCTTGGTGGGTGGGAGAAAGTGGAGAAGGGCAGTGGTGGGCAGACTGTTCCACCTGTTCAGACATGTCCGTCTCCTGGGGTCTCAAGCTGCTGGGGCAGGAAGTGTGTTTTCATGTATGTGAGCATGTCCATGTATGCACAGACACCTGTGAGGTGGATAATGGCATGTGTGTCTATTGTACACATTTGCGTAGGGTGACGGGAGAAGACGAAGAGGCTGGGGCTTTGGGACCTGGATCTGTTATCAGCCCTGACATGGACAGGGGCTAGCTGACTTTAGTGCTTTTCTCAAAATGTTTATTTCATCTTAAAAGTTTTGTTGTTTGGGGGGGGGAGCACATGACATGGTGCATAGTGGAGGTCAGAGGACATGGAGGGAACATGCCATGGTACACATGTGGGGGTCAGAGGACATTGGGGATACATGCCTTGGTGCACATGTAGAGGTCAGAGGACATTGGGGGCACATGCCTTGGTGCACATGTAGAGGTCAGAGGACATGGGAGGCACATGCCATGGGGCACATGTGGAGGTCAGAGGACATGGTCCTGACATCTATGGTCTGGAGCTTATCAGGATATATAATGTGGACACCTGTGTGTTGGTCACTCTGCCTGTGCACACACAGGTCAAACCCTCCTGTTCCACACACATATAAATTCCTCATTGGACTTCTTTATTATTCTCCCTGAACAAACCCAGGAAAACCTGACAAGATTGACTCTCTCTCCCTCACCCCCTCGTCTCCTTCCAGTGGGGTTGATTGTTGAGATGATTAGTTAATAAAGGGCTCTCCACACAAGCACAGAGACTTGAATTCATGTCCCCAGATGGAGCCACATGCCTCTGCAATCCTAGCACAGGCAAATCAGAGGCAAGAGAACCTAGCCAGCCTGCCTAGCCAATCAGCGAACTTCAGGTTCAATGAGTGATCCAAAAAACAGGGTAGAGAGCAATTGAGTAAGACCCCTATTTGGTGTCCACCTCTGGCTTACACACACACACTCACACACACACTCACACACACATGCATGCATGCAAGCACACACACATGCATGCACACAAGCATACACACACACACACACACACACACACACACACACTCACATTTAGGCTGTCTGAACTCCACCATCTGCAGCAGCAGGGCGGTGTGTTCTCTCTTGGCTTTGTGCCTCACAGCCTCCTTTCAAACATGCATCAAGCCAACCATCCCCAACACACTGGCAAAAGGACTTGACTCCGTCCCAGGTCCTGACCCACCTTCTCCTAGGTCCCCTTCTGGTGGTAAAATGCCCGCAGAGGGTGCTCCTCCTCCTCATCTTGTCTCTTTGTCCTCCAAGCTCTCTGCCATCTGCCCAAGTTCAAATTTCAAGTGTTTCAGGAGCCCCCCTGAAATGACATGAGATGTACCCTTCTGTAACTTCCACCCCTATTTCTCCTAGAGACTCTGACCTCAGGTGCGGGCCAGCTTCTTTTCCAACCCTCATCTTGCAAAAGAGTATCACAAAACCTTCCATCCTGAACAATGAGCTACCCATGTCCCCTCCCAGCGATGGCTTTCTGGCCCCTGTCATTCTTGACCCTGGGCCATAGCTCAGCCCTGTGTCTGTCCGTCTGGATATGTATACAGATACACATGTGCATGTATGAGTGCACTTGCCTTGAACATCTGTGCCTGCTTTTCACTAACGAAGTGTGGTGAGTGTCTTGACCAGCACTGGCTGTCATAGTGGCAAGCTTGTGGGAAAGGGCCTGCTGGGCTTCCCAGCACTGAATTTCTCCTAGGAAGAGTCTGGAGCAATAAAGGAGCCTCTCCGAACTCTGCTCCGTCTCTCCCTCCCTCTTCTGCAGACATCCCTGACCTGAAGCAGCGCCTGCAGGCTCTCCACCTGCTAGTCCTCCTCCTGCCTGAACCCAACCGCAACACCTTGAAGGTAAAGGTGGCTTTGATGCCCTGTCTCACCCTTCAGCCTCAGCGCTGCCTACCCTGTTCATAACTCCATCACACAGCCACGCCATCCACCCATCCCTCTCTCCTTTCATCTTTACTATGTGACCCTTGGCACATTTTCTAAGCCAGATTCTTCCTCTGCAAGACGGGTCCAACAGTAAAACTTCCTGTGTGGTCTCGCTGCTGCCTTACCATCAGTGAATTGGCAAACCTGTGTGAGCAGTTAGCTGCTGGGCCAGGAGCACAAGTCATGGATAGGGGGCAGTTGTGAACTATCCCTTTCTGCCCAGGGAAGAAGGGCGAGCACTGTTGAGGGTGGGAAGCCCAGGGCTGTGCTGGAATTCGAGGCAGGTTCTGTGCCCTTCCCTAGGCGCTCCTGGAATTCCTCAGGAAGGTGGCAGCCCAGGAGCAGCACAACAAGATGACCCTGTGGAATGTTTCCACAGTGATGGCCCCCAACCTCTTCTTGCCCCGAGGACGACCTCCCAAGCTCCCCAAGGGTGAGAAGCAGCTGGTGGAGGGTGCAGCTGAAGTGATGTGCATGATGGTGCAGTACCAAGACCTGCTTTGGACGGTGAGTGGCAGCCATGACAGCAAGCTCAAGGCAGGGACAGGAAAACTGTCCACGGTTTTCACCCACCTGATCTCCCTGGTGTAGCTACCGACTTGCTGCTATCTGTCATGGGCACCATGTTTCATGCTGCTAGTTAGGGCTCCTCTTAGGACTCTATAGGACTACTGAGGCCTATATTTTCCTTCCCTGCATCCAAGTCTAAGGAGTCTACATTTTCTTTCCTTACAACAACCATATCCCTCAACTCTCAGCCAACTCACAGCCCTCCGGTTTCCCCTTCACCTAAGTATAGCAGATGTTCCCTAAGCGACCAGCAAGAATGTCCCAGCTTTGAGATTCAGGAGCATAAGGACTGTCCAAGGGAGGCCCAAGTCAGATATGAGAGTGAGGCCTGCTTCCACCATGAGTGTTGCCTTGGAAACAAGCAAATAAACAAGGAGACGTGCGGGGTGTGCTGGTCCTTGTCTGCTTAAACTGGAGGTGGGACAGGAGCCCCGAGAAGATCCTTCTAGCACTCGGTATTCCCACCACACAGTCGGCACCATTCCCAGGGGTAGCTCAGGCCACTCTCTCACTCCATACTCTCCTACCCATCTGCCCACTTGCCCAAACATCTTTCACCCACATGTTCGACTACCCACTTATGCCTTTATCAACTGTCTTCCTTCCCATTTGTCCAACCAATCCCCACCTATCCACCACTCTCCTGTGTACCCACTAATCTAGCTTCTATCTTCTTTTTACCCATCATTCATTGTCTCTCTACCTGTTTATCCATCATCCACTGATCAGTCATCTATCCGTCATCCATCTACCTATCCACCCAACCGTCTACCGATCTGTCCACCAATCCATCCATTATGTATTTATCCATGTACTCATCCACCCATCCATTCATCATCCATCCATCCATCCTCCACCCATCCATTGCCTATTCAACCATGTACCCCCCTAATACCTACGATCTATTCATCGACCTACTATCCACCCACTTACTTACCCACCTAAATACTCACCCACCTCTCCGTTCACCTACCTGCTCACCTGTCTATCATCCTATTCACTCACTCATCCATCCATCCGTCTACCCCAGTCTGTCTACTCATATACCCATCCATCTATCCATCTTTTTACCTTGTCTCTCCTTTCATCCATGAATTAGATTTATCTCCCAGATCCCAGCAAAGGTACCCTTCTCTGAGAAGTCCCAGATTCTCTGTATCCCCAGCCAGCTGCTGTTTTAAATGCATCTGGGGCTGGAGGCGGGGCCTGGAAAGATGGCTCAGTGGTTAACAGTATATACTGCTCTTCCAGAGGATCTGGGTTCAATTTCCAGCACTCATATGGCCACTCACAACTGTCTGTAACTTCAGTTCCATGGCTTCTGATGCCCTCTTCAGCCCTCGTGGACACCACACCACCAGGCACACACATGTGCACATACTTACATATGTGTAAGCAAAGAGTGCAAATGCATCCTGGGCTTCATACCTCTGGGGTTTTGTTCAAGTCTTTCACACTGCTTGGATGTTCCTTCCCATTCTCAAAGGCAGAGCTTGGTGCCCTCTGCTCATTCTTTAGGAGTGAGTTCAGGGTCCATTCTTCTGAAAGTCCCCTACCACCACCACCCCCAGACTCCCATAATTAATTTCTCTGCATTCAATCTTCTGAAGTTACAAAAGTTGCTACTAAAACAGAGTGAATGACAGTTTTTATTTTTAAAAGATTTTCTTTTTAAAAAATATTTATTTATTATGTATTTAATATTCTGTTTGTGTGTATGCCTGAAGGCCAGAAGAGGGCACCAGACCTCATTACAGATGGTTGTGAGCAACCATGTAGTTGCTGGGAATTGAACTCAGGACCTTTGGAAGAGCAGGCAATGCTCTTAACTACTGAGCCATCTCTCCAGCTCCCTAAAAGATTTTCTTAAAAAATTTTTGGTATGAGTGTTTAGCCTACATGTATGGAAGTGTACCACATATGTTCCTGGTGCCTACAAAAGTCAAAAGACAACATCAAACCTCCCAGAACTGGAGTTAAAGGTGATTGTGTTGTTGGGGACAGAACCGGGTCATCTGAAAGAGAGCAGTCAGTGCTCTTAACTTCAGAGCCACTTCTGCGGCTGCTACAGCTTTTCCTGTTATAGAGAGGGTTTTTTTTTTTTTTGGCTGTTGTTGTTCTGAGATTCCTTAAGTACTAGGGTTTTGTTTTTTAAGTTTCAGACAGCTCAGATGTATACAGCAAGATGAGAAAAATCTCCGCTGCCTTTTTCCATATGCGACACCATAATTAGGTTTCTACTCTTCACAGTCTCTCACACCTCGGAAAGAGGATCCCTGGATCCTGAAGTCTTTGCTAGCTTCTCACTGCACCGTGGCTGAGCTGACCTGCAGGCCTTCAGGAACTCCCCCAGGCCCACTGGTTGGGGTTCTCAGAGCAGGAGGCCAGTCTAGGGGTATTGTGGGGACATATCTGCCTGAGGTGCCAATGAACAGCTCCCCACATACGCAGCTCTCTCCAGAAACCTCAGGGACCATTCCATTCTGAATCTAATACTCCAGGGTGCTCTTTGGGACTGACCATCTAGCAACCATCCCACTAATAGCCACTTCGAGGAGTCCGTTTCTAAGCCCTCTGTGGGAGGAGACCCGGTGGTCTGAATGGAGTCTTGCTTAGCCTCTTGCCCACAGCACCACAGACCCCAGCTGACACGTGATTCCTTTTGGCCAGGTTGCCTCTTTCTTGGTAGCCCAAGTACGAAAACTGAATGACAGTAATGGCCGTCGTTCCCAACTCTGTGATGGGGGCCTCAAGACTTGGTTGCGGAGGACACATGTAGACAGGGACAAGGCCGGGGACAGGCTTGAGGCGGTGAGTGCCCCCCCCCCCCCATCAGGTGAATGGAGAAACTGACAGAAGGTGGAGAAAAGGCACCTTGTTGGGGGAGGGCATCCAGGTTTTCCATCATCCCTGCCAACAAGCTGCCTGGCATCATAGTCTGTGACCGCCAGGGGGCGCCCGAGCCGCATCGCAGAGGTGGAGGAGCCGGTGCAGCAGGAGAGAGAGGCTGAGGCCTGGGGGTTGGGAAGCTGGCCTGGTGGGGGTTCTCCTAGAAGCCACATATTTGGTCTTAATTTTAGAAAGCACTTTGTGTGCCTGGGTTGGGAGTCTGAAAGTGGACAGGGTCGTTTTGTGGAACAGGGCTGTGGAAGAAGGAACGAGTCTTTCTGGAGAACACAGCAGGGTAGAGTCAACAACACAGTCCCTTAGGAAAATTGTGTGTATGTGCATGTGTGTGTGCGTGCGTGTATGTGAGAGAGAGAGAGAGAGACAGAGAGAGACAGAGAGAGACAGAGACAGAGAAAGAAGAAGAGGAGGAGGAGGAGGGGGGAAGGGGAGAGGGAGGGAGGGCACGAAAAGAGAGGGAGGGAGGAGCCGGCATGAGCCTGGGGGCATATGTGCACATCTGTAGATAGCTTGCATGTGCTCCTATGTGCATGTATTTCCACACCTGGATGTATGTGTGGGTTTGTGTATGCATGTGGTGTGCATGTGAATACTGGCCCTAGCGCACACGTGTGTGAATTCCAGGGATGAAAGAGCCTTCCGTTCTTCATCTCCATCATCTCCTCCTCCAGACTCCCAAAGTGGCAAAGGTCCAGGTGACCTGGCCTAGCATGGATCTTCTGCAGGTGCCTCTGAACCCTAGCACCAGAGTGACCCACATCCTGAAGCTGTTCGCAGAGCGCCTCAACCCTGGGTCACAGCCTGAAGATGGCAGGGAAGACCCAGGCAGCATTCTCTCAGGGTAAGGGCCACCTCCATGAGGCACCAAGCCTCCTGTCTCTCCTGCAGGGTACCGGGAGGGCTCAGTCCCTCCCAGCTGCAGGCCATGCGGAGTTACATGTGTCCTTGACAGCCCTGGTCTTCCTCTTTCTGGGAGGTCACAATGGGTTCTCCAACCTTTATAGAGTTTCTTCAAATAATAATGAAGAGGGTCCCCATTCATTATTGGTCTTAATATATATGTTTAATAAGTGGCTACTATAGCTCAGACTATAGCTCTGCCATGTGGAATGCTAAAATGGTAATGAAAGGACTCACCAGAGGGGTTGGAGAGACGGCTCAGTGGTTAAGAACACTGACTGCTGTTTCAGAGGACCGGAGTTCAGTTCCCAGCCTCCCGGGTCAGGCAGCTCGCAGCCACCTGTAACTCCAGCTGCAGAATATATGACAACTCTGGCCTCCATAGACACTCATACACAGGTGCACGTATACCTCCCCATACTCATAATTAAAACTGAAAATAAAAAGATTAGCCAAAGAGGTCCTGGCCTTACAAGCTCATGATACATGATAGAGACACACTTAAGTAGAGTAGCCACCAACTGTCAAGTTAAAAACCGTATTAGCTTTTCTAAGAGACACAGGGAGCAGTATGAACGTACAATGAGATGCCTGCTGTAGTCTGAGGAGAGAGCAAGGCTTCGGGGCAAGAGAAATTGCATGTGCAAAGGGTCCTAAGGTGGCAAGGAGCAGCACAGCTGAATGCATTGGTGAGACTGAGATGTGGGAGTCATTCCCAGACACAAGAAGTAGCCAGAGCCCTCGGGAGCTTCCTTCGTGGGTTTAACACAAAGACCCTCAGAGTGTCAGTCCTTACCAAGTGTCTGATCCAATTCCTTCTACAGATGAGAAAGCGAAGGCCCAGAGAGGGGGTAGGGCATGTCCAAAGCCACAGAGAAAGTCAGGGGCAGATCCTGAAGCTAAATTCAGTATACCCATAATTATTCATGATAATAGCTATCATACATAATCATACAATGTCCACATTCCACCTTGATGCAGAATCTGCCTCTCGTGGCAGAGGCCTTTCTTCCCATGTGACACCCCAATCTCACCCTTCCGAAGCCCATATCTGATGTCTAGCAGGAAGGGACCTTGTGGCAAAGCGCCTGGGGCTGATCTTTGCCAAGGCCTATCTGGATGCCGCTCCCTGCTGCTGGCTGCTGGCCTCCTTCAATGGCCCCAGGTCTCTCAGAAGGGTCCTTAATTCCTTCCAACTGGGACCACAAATCCTTGAGGACACCCCTTCCAGGCATGAGGTGGTTTTGCCTTCTCCAGCAGAGCTCAGTAGATTTTTCTCTCTGTCTCACAGCACCGCCAAGCCAGCCACCTTCCTTGTCTATGAAGTTGGAGGGAATATTGGTAAGTTCCCATGTAGGAGGTGAGCCCAAAGCCTGGGCTCCTGGGAGCTCCTTGACCTTGAAAGAGAAAGAGCCTTCTCTCCAGGTCTGTCTCCTGCCACTGGTAGGCACTGCAGTGAGGGCCAAGATGAGCAGGGCTGACTTAGGAACTCTTCGTGCACGGACAGCTCTACACAGGGCTGACTCCCAGATGGACGAATGACCTGTGTTTAGTATGAAAGCTGTCGGTGTTACCACAGATGTGTCAAGGACACCCCCAGGGAAGGGAACTCCCAGCCCTGCACGTGAATGCCTTTAGGAACGCTGTAGGCCCACCAGCATCCAGTTCCAAGGGTCCTTGTTTTGTGAGAACCAGGGACAAGCATGAATGGGGCATTAGAGTCACCTCCAGGGCCAAAATGACAATTGTCTGCGTCCTGAGAACGCATGTTTCTAATAAGCTCCTTCATGCGGCTGAAGCTGCTGGTCCAAGGGCTGGACTACCCTCGGAGAACCACTGGCCAGGAATGGGAGACAAGACAAGGTCCGAGAGTTTGTGGTGGCTGAAAGGACAGCCTTGTGTGGAAAGAGTGGAGGAGGCTTGGGTAGGCATTTCAGGAGCTTGTGGGATCCACCAGGGGGCGCTGGAACTCATGCTGCGTGGCTGTATCAGCTGGAGGCTAAACCACAACCTCTGGTGTGGACGCCTAGGGAAGAGGGGTTAGATTTTCCAGCAAAGCATCTTCCCCCATCAGACATCACCTCAGAGAAAGGGGTAACTCTGAGCCACAGCACGGCTCCCATAGCCAGAGGGTGGTACCTTGTCTGGTGAGAGGCTCTGGGCAAGACAGCAGCATCTTTCCCAGCCACACTCTCAACTTCCGGGATCCCTTCTTCCCACAGGTGAACATCGCCTGGACCCAGATGCCTACCTCTTAGATTTGTACCGCGCCAACCCCCACGGTGACTGGGTCATTAGACAGAGCCCCACCTAAGCCTCGAATCCGAAGAAACAGCCTGGAACACCCAACCTGGGAGCAGAGCTCTTCACATGGAAAGATTGGGTCTTTCCAGGAAATACCTCTTCCATGCCGGACAACACAGAGCTGGGTCTGCCTCCCCCCATCCTCGCCACACACACAGAGCCCCCAAGGATGCCACCCAGGGCACCTGAATCCCCACAGGTGTTTGCAACAATTTCCAGAAACGGGGAACGGAACTGCAGCACCCCTCTGAAGAGCAGAAGGGAGCTTCCAGAGAATGTGGCTTTAGAGGCAACCCCACAGCATGGAGTGGGAAATCACTGTGACAATGGAGGACCCCTTGTCTTCTCTGAGACCCCAATGATGCCCTGGACAGCCCTAGGAGAACTGGACAGACAGCAAACTTCGCTTTGCCTTCTTGTATCTTATATGGAAACTTGTCGTTTTATAGCATATTTAAGTTGCTTCAACATTAAACTCATAGCTCAACACCATTTTCCTTTGCTCTTCCCAGCCTGGCTCATGGTGGATCTTTCTGGCAGCTGACTGGAGCTAGGAGAGAACCACCTTACTGTGCCTTTTTTTCCCGTGGGCTCTGGCTACACCTTGAACCTGCTCCATCCATCAGGACCCCGAGGAGCCCCAGAGCAGGGAGGGTTGCTGGAGGAAGGACAGCTGTTGACAGAGGTTTCTCTCTTGCAGCTGTTCAGTCCCAAAAAACCACGCAGAGGCCTACATTAATTATAAACTGGGTGGTCTATTAGCTCAGGTCTCTTACTAATTCTTACACCTGAAATTAGCTCATAATTCTTGTCTGTGTTATCCACGTGGCTTGGTATCTTTTATCAGTGAGGCATTCTCGTCTTGCTTCCTCTTGGTCTGGGTGAGGACTGCAGACTGAGCCTTTCCTCTTCTCTGAATTCTCCTGTTCTGGTTGCTCTACCTATATAGATAGCAATCCCTGAAGGGCAAGGTTGACTTTCTGGCACTCCCAATACTTATCACTTAGGACCCCAGTTCTGTCCCTTCTTCTTCATGCCCAAGTCTGCCTTCTCCTCAGTGGAAGTGAAGCCTCATACAGCCATTCATTTAGTGATGAGGGTGCCGAGCCTCTAATTTATACTAAGAGTTTACAAACTCCACATTTGCTGGGCGGTGGTGGCATATGCCCTTAATCCCAGCACTCAGGAGGCAGAGACAGGTGGATCTCTGTGAGTTCGAAGCCAATCTGGTCTACGAGACTAGTTCCAGGACAGGCTCCAAAGCTGCAGAGAAACCTGTCTTGAAAAGCAAAAACAAAAACAAACTCCACCTTCAAAATACTCTAGTGTTTCCACTTCAGCTCTTCCCAGTAGACTCTGAGACAGATTCAAGACCAAGTAGTGCTCCTGGAGGCCTGGGGGGTGAGCACCAGATGGAAGGGAAGACCACCATTAAAGGGGATGTTATCACACAAATTGCCACAATAGGCAGACAGAGCTTAATTCTGTCTGTACCTTAATTCTGAGGTACTTGAGAAACAATGGTAGAAACTGTCCATTTGGGTCACCCCATCCCAGGGGTAGAGAACAAGGTGTGTGGGGAGCAGAGGGGAAAGATTAAAGTCCAGGCACTAGATACAGGGTTCACTGACTATGATGGGCATTGCTCCCTTGTCCTTTCAGGCTACCTGAGGGCTTTGTAGAGTGGGCTCTTGTTGTAAAAGGGGCAGAGGGCTGCTTTTCATCCCGCTCAGCTCCCAGCCGCCTGGTTCCCGGCTAGCTTTACCTGAAATAATTACACGGAAACTGTATTCATTTAAACACTGCTTGGCCCATTATATCTAGCCTCTTATTGGCTAACTCTCACATCTTGCTTTAAAACCATATGTAGTAATCTGTGTATCACCACAGGGTCATGGCTTACCAAAAAGATTCTAACCTACATCCATCTCGGAGAGGAGAGCCATGGTGTCTGCCTGACTCTGCTTTCTTTCTCCCAGTATTCTGTTTAGTCTACTCCACCCATCTAAGCTGCTGTCCTATCAAAAGGCCAAGATAGTTTCTTTATTTGACCAATGAAAGCAACACATAGACAGAAGGCCCTCCTACACCAGGCTCTGAATGCTGAAGAGCTCTTGGCTAATGATACAGATGCAGTTCAATATGGTTTCTGCACACTGACTCTGAATACCGGAGGAAGAGAGATGGCTTGGCACTGATAACATCTGGGTCATCCTGTGGCATGCTAATGGTGGTGGTAATAGTGGTTGGAATGATAGTGGTGATAAGAGGATGATGGTGATTGATGGTGGTGATGGTTGATAATTTAGTGATGGTGGTGATGAGGGTGACCAGGTGGTGATGGCGGTGGTCACAACAAGATGATGGTGATGATGACGGTAATGACAATGGTGATGTGGTGATGATCATGATGGTTGTGGTGGTGACAGGATGGTGGTGATAATGATGGTGCTAGTGATGACAATATTGATGATGGTGATGGTGGCAATGAAAGTCATAATGATGGTGGTCATGAGGTGGCAATGGTGGCAATGGTGGTGGTGCCATGTTGAATGCTATGACTGTATAAAGATAGGGGCTTTAAATATCTTTTTATGCATTTGGATGTTTTTCCTGCATGTATGTCTATTTGCAATGCCTGGTGCCCACCGAGACCAGAAGGTGGCATTCAATCCCCTGGAACTAGGAACACAGATGGCTGTGAGTTGCCATGTGAGTACTGGGAATCAAACCCAGGCCTTCTGAAAGAGCAACCAGTGCTCTTAACCACTAAGCCATCTCTTGAGCCCCAGATTAAAATATCGCATTGGCTTTATTCATGATTCTAGAAATGAGCAGGCTTCCAAACTAGAAGACCTGAAGAGCTCAGGAATTGAATGTGGTCAGACATTACAGACAGGAAACTGAAATGGCATAGAAATAGATTAACTGCTTCCATCTTGGCCTTTGCCTTCCCAAGTCAGCTGGCCATGGTCCCTGATGAGCACTCAGCGGCTGTGGTGGCCTGAGACTCGGCCGTTATGCACCATGCACTCCTGAGTTAGGGCTCTCACAGAGTGGTGCTACAAATCACTGTGAAAAGACGTGTGAAAAGGCAGCAGAAAACACCTCTTCAGCCCTAAGTTATGTAATGGTGATGCTGGTGGTGGTGTTGGGATTGATGGCTAGGATGGCATTGGTGATGGTGGTACTGAAGGCAGTTGGTGATGATGATAGCGGTGATAGTGAGAATGTAATTGGCGGCTATGGTAGTGGCAGTGGTGGTGGAAGTGATTGGTGATGGTGGTGAGATGATGGTAGTGATTGGTGATGATGGTAAAATGGTGGTGATGGTGGTAGTGATTGGTGATGATGGTGAGATGGTGGTGGTGGTGATTGGTGATGATGGTAAGGTGGTGGTGGTGGTAGTGATTGATGATGATGGTAAGATGGTGGTGGTGGTGGTGACTGGGGTTGATGATGTTGGTGTGGGTGGTGATGATTGGTGATGATGGTACTAATGGTGAGGATGGTGATTAGTGAGAATAATGGTGGTGGTAGTAATTGATGACGACGACGATGATGACAGTGACAATAATGATGACGGTGATGACAATGATGATGATGATGATGATGACGATGATGACAATGACCATGATGACCTCAAGCCTGTTGAAAGTTTTCCTGCTGAAGACCTGGAAGACTCTCACTTAAAGCAGTGTTCTGATCTGTTCTCTGGACCTTTAGTCACCTGTATTTGCCAGACACACGACCTCTTTTCAGGTCCCCAGAAAATCCAAGTCCATGCCCATTTCAGGGCTCTTGCCCGTGTAATTATCTCACTTAAAATCCTTTCCCACAGCCAGCCCCTTCCACCTGCAGGTCTCAGGTCAAGTGTCCCTTCCTCCAAGAGGCCACTCCACCTGAAGTTGCTCCCTTGTGTTCTCTCTCTCCCTCCTTCCCTTGCTCCCTTTTTTTCTCTCTCCCTCTCTCCCCCCCTCTTTCTCTCTCTCCCCTTTTCCTCTCCTTCTCCCTCACTCTCTCTCCTCCTTCTCTTCCCCCTCTTTCCCTCTCTTTCTCTTTCCCTCCCTTTCCCCATACATGTGCATTTCTATCATTAATTTTCTTCTTAGCATTTAACATTGCCTGAGATAATCTAGTTGAATGAAATATGAAATAATCTCCCTGGTTGGGGATCAGCTCCTCAGAGGCAGATGTCACATGGGGGTTTCCTCACCTTTGTAGATTTGATGGCACTATTAGTGCATAATAAAAACTGATTGACTGGATGAATGAATGAATGTGTTCATTCTTTGTCCTCTGGACCTTTGCTTGCCTGCTCCAGGAGCCACTGCAGTCTCCACCTGTCCTTACTCTGACCTGCCTATTTGGAGGACACCGATGAGAAAACTCGTGGGGAGTGCCCACAGCACCTTGTCAGCACGATTATTATTAACGAGAGCCAGGCAGCCTTAGGTGGTGACTAACACTGTCTCAGCCCCTGTGCTGGCCTCATTGCCTACCTCTGTCACTAACTCACCCAGCCAGGGTGACCACAAACCTGCTTAGTAACCTAAGCAGGAGGTGGGCACACACTCGAAGTCATGAGGGAGTCTAGGCTTGCCTGTGTGCTACCTTTGCAGGCAGCAAGTCCTGGCTGTGGGGGAGGATCCCCATTTAATCGCATGTCAGTTGCCCCATTCATCTTCAGAGCTATCTGAGAACTCATCGTTTTCCACGCAGTGGTGTCTCCATGATTGATGATTCCACAGCCGCCCCTCTGCAGGCTTAGCACAGCTCACAGTGGGGGCTCGGCTCTCCAGGCTCTCTGCAGGCTGGGCTTGAGTCCTGCATCTCTTACCCGGTGCTTTAGGAATCGAATCACATCCTCCCCAAACCTAAATGTTGAAGCTCTGACCTCCAAGTGGCTAAGTTTGGATATGAAACCTTTAAAGGGGGCTAAGGTTCCAAGAGACCGTTGAGTGGGGTACTAGACTGATGGGACTGGTGCCCTGAAGGGAGAAGGGGTGCCATAGGAGTCCTCTCACACTCAGAGCACACAGGAAAGGCCATAAGATGCAGAGAAGAGGCAAAGGACCTCAAGGCAGAAGACAGCCTCACTCGGAAGCTCATTGCCGCAGATTTAAAGTCTAGAAGTCCAAGATCAAAGTGCGAGATGATGCGCTCTCGGCAAGGGACCAGTGTTAATTTTCTAAGGTTCCCATAGCAGGGCACCCCCACCCCCATGCTTTCAAAAGGAAGAATGATGGGATTTAGCCAGATATCCTCAAATGGAAAGGACAAAGGGTAGAGGTGATGCCAGGCAGAAGAACCCAGTACGCAGGCGCATGCTTCCCTGGGATAGGCAACATTTAGCAAGCTACACCGGGTTGGACACTCAAGCCTTGGACTCTATTCCACCTGTGCAGGCTGCAGGTAACCTGCCCAACTGCTCTGTGCACCCTAAGAGTCACAAGACTGTTTCCAAGTTGTGGAGAGAACTGTGAGGATGTTTGAGGGGGTCTACAGTCTCCCAGTGGCTACTTTGAATGCCTTCTGTGTGCCCATCACTAGGCTGGACTAAGGTTCAGAGTATTGCAAAGGGCAGGAAATGACCCAGCCTGCACGGAGCTCATAGACTGGCAAGACAGACATCAACTCAGAAATGAAAGACATCAGAGTGTGAGAAAATCAACTGGACAGAGAGGAGAGAGGAGGCCAGGAATGTGTGTCTTTTAGAGCGGTCCGGAGCTGGGTTGTGGAAAACTGGGGCTCAGGGCTGGTGGGAGTTCTGAACCTCAGGTGTGTCCTGTTCCCAGTCAAGAGCTGGGAGTGGGGTGGGGTGGGTGTCGTGCTCTGCCCACGTGCAAGCAGGCTGACCACCTCCCGTCACGGGCAAGACCTCGGACAGAACACCCAAATGGCATGTACAGGCGTCATGGGTGCCCAGGGGATGTGGTGGAATGGGCCTGTGAGACATTACCAAAGAGGTGACACTTGAACAGATTATAAACTGCGGGCAGCCATGGATGCAGCTGACCGCAAAGGCCTGCACATCGAAGGAGCTGGAAAATTCTAACCAGAGTCGCCTTGAAGTTAGCCACGTGTTTGAGTCAGAAAGGTCTCCAGGCTGCCGGAGCAGAGGGACAGCTCAATCCACGCCCACAGCTTTCCTATCCAGTTCCCCGACCCTACCTGTAGTCGGGCTTCCTCCTTTTCCCCGCCCCAAACCTTCAGTCGAGTCAGGAATTGGCTATCCAATACAGGAGGTGGGGCTTTGGGGCTCAATCCAGGAAATGTGGGCTTTATGTTATGCAATGAGGGAGAGATGAGAAGTGCTGTCCAGTAGAGGACGAGGGCAAGGAGGCTGCAGGGCAAACTGACAAATTCCTAGGCCACACCGCACCCCTATTGCCCAGCCAGTGCTGAAAGACACCGTCTCTGGCCAGTCGGTGACCGGACCTCCAACATTGCAGCAACAGAATTCTCTCTCAGCTACAGGATGTCTATCGAGGCCGAATTTCCTCCTGCGTCTGCAGTCCGGTGGAGGAAGAGATGCTAAACACTAGGCACCACACGAATTGCTGTGAGATAACAATTGGCAAACGAGATGGAGGGAGGGGCAGGGTCCTTCAGTGTTTGGAGTCGGGGAGCTGAAACAGGTCTGGAATTTTCCCTTAGGGAGAGGTGAGTTTCCAGGGTTGTACCACTTAAGCACAGTGGAACTTAAGGTGAGACTTGAGAGTAAACAGGTGGAAGGGCCCCCGAAAGTAGCGGGAACGCTGCTTTTGGAGTTCAAACATAGCAAGGATACTTTCTGACCCACCCTGCAGAGACTGCAGGCTAGGATATCCCTGGCGGCGACAAAAGTGTGAGCTGCCTGGGAAGGCGCAGAAGATGCATTCCAGAAGGGTTTGGAAGAGGGAAACCACCAACTTGAAATTCTGAACCTACCTCAGGGCTGCCTCAGCTCCCCTAAACACAACCGCAATGACCCTGAAAGAGCCTGCCCTGCTGGTCTGCTCCGAGCACCTGCGTGGGGCTCTCACTGCCAGACACTCCAGCGGGGGAACCACACACATTCTTGGTGGCCTTGGTTGACACCTTTGCTCTTGGAGACGCCTCCTATACTTAAAATCTGAAGACAGAGCTGTCAGCGACCTTATTCAACCCGGGTTGGCTCTGGTGTCCCAGGCAGTGCATTAGGATGCAGTTCCTCAAGATGCCGCTGGGGGCAGAGCAGCGCGGCCTCCCGCTCCTCCAAGCCTGCCAGGTGCTTCCAGGTCCCTGGTTTTGGGCAAATGACACTCTAGGTCCAAATCCATCATTCTTTCTGGTCCCTCATCCTTGGATATTAGAAGGATGGGTGCTGAAGAGTTTTTAGGAATCGTTAAGGGGCTTCATCCACGTATGAGGGACAGTGGGTTTTATCTGTCTGGGTTTTCCCTGCGGGGGGAGGGAAGTGGGGGTGGGGTAGAGGGGGTGTATGTGTTGAGCTTGACAAATCCCTAGAACCAGCGCTGGATGGTAGAGAGGAAAATGGCACTGTGCCGTCCCAGCCCCCACCCTGAGCTGCCAGAGGGGCTGTCTATGCATCTCTCCCACCCCTACCCAGTTACTTTGTATTCTGGGGGGAGGGGAATGGCAGCCACTTGCCATTGTCCCTGAACACTGGCAGGAGGCCCAGGGAGGGGCTCCCCAATAGGGAATCCGCAGCTGCCTGTCTTTAAGGTAAAATTACCGTAATTACCCCAATTACCAAATCCATCAAGAGCTTTGGACTGAGGACCAGAGAACAATCGGCCCTGATGGATCTGAGGGGAGGTGGAAGTGAGTCACAGAGGAGGGTGGGTGGGAGCAAAGCGAACAGAGTTGCAAGGGTGGGGATGGAGAAACGAATGAGACCCCACTTTCCTCTCTCGTTGAGACTTCTCCTTTATGGATAATATCTGCCAACCTTGGGCACGCGCATGCGCGCACATACACACACACACACACACACACACACACACACACACACACCCACACACCTCTGAATCCTCTACATTGCATAGAACCCCATGACCATGGCCACCTAATTTGAACCTTGTTTGCATCCTCAGAGAGCTCAAAGTAAGACAATTGGGAAATGGCAAATGACCCCTGACTCCGGCTGTGGGCCAGGCCCTGAGCAAAACCCTTAGCAAGCTGTGTCCTCAGGTCCCGTGAAGCAGCCTTGGTCTCCCCTCACATGAGGGTGGCTCACATGCTCTTTTGCTCTGCACACTCCAGGAACCAGATTCTATGCTGCTTTCCTTGGGTGCTCCTCACCCTGCTCCACTTAGTACCCTAAGGGGTGTTAGCATCTGATGTGGCCTGGCACAGCCAAACCGGTCAGCATTCTATGAATAGCAGGTCTCAGGAAAAGCCTTTGGACTTTCCACTGGTAATTCCTACAGTTTGTGGCCAGATTTTTTAAATTAATATTTTAAAGGTAATTTAACTTTTATTAAAGTTCAAATTTTAAGAAGTTCTGTGGTGTTATATTTATTGAATCACATTTGTGGTGTGTGTCACATAGTTCCTTTGATAACTACCGGAGCCAGCAAGATGTCCCAATGGGGTAAGGCACTAACTGCTAAGCCTGGAGACTTGAGTTTTACCCCTGGGACCCACATGGTAGAAGGAGAGAACTGCCTCTGCAAAGTTGTGCGTTGATACCCACATGTCATGTGTATCATAGCATGCAGACACGCATGTGTACACACATGCACACAACGCACACACACATTTTAAAAAGTCATGTCAGAAAGCAATGTCAAAAGTCACCTTAATATTTGGCAGTCAGTAG